TGCACGAGGCGACCACTTATCAAAGGGTACACGTATTTTCTTTGATGAAGACAAACCCGCATCTAAGAACTTGGTGTAGTGTTTGGCTCCGTGATGACGGCATGACAGCAGACGCCGCAACAAAAAAGTGGGCACTGGAAACTTCCTCAAGTAGTGACCCATCCTTGGAAAAAAACTTGAAGAGTTTGATATATTGACCACAAAACAACAGATCGGGACAAATCAGTGCTGAGAAACAAAATGGGATACAGGAAGAATAACTCAACTTAGCAAGGATTTAACAACCATAGTTGTTTGTATGACTCTGTTGGGAGAAGGGTGAGGAGGAAACGCAGACAGAACGTAAAGTAGTTGTCAGGTGGAGAGAAATCGCCGTAGACAAGTTAACAAATGGAGTACCCGAAGAGAGAGAGAGAGAGAGAGAGAAACACCGAGTATAACGGATAATCAGTTAGGACTACAAGGCTTGGTGACAGAGCCAATCACAGGAAAAATAGATTGAGAAAGAAATGCATAGTTCAAACAAAGCGATTCTAGTTGTTCGAAGCAATACCACCTGCGTTAGCCTCCGATGGAGAATGAGCAGCGTACCAACTGGAGATATCCGATTCGAATAAAACCTTCTTTGGTAAAATGTTTAATCTGGAAGGAAAAAAGGAATGGTGATTATTGGCAAACATCTAAAATTGAATGAACCGACGGTCGCAGGGAATACTAACCGAGAGAGCACGCCTCGAAATCGATGGTGACGTCTGACAAACAGAAAAGGGGACTTATATATCATATAAATCGCCTCGGTTGTAAGCGCAAACAAGCGATAAAAGGACCTTTGGCTGGCGTCCACTGGGTAGGATCATCGAATGGTTCTAGTCCGGCAGTGCGCGGCGTCACAACACCTAAGACACCGAACCACGATTATAGAATTCCGTTCAGCAATATTGTCACAAGAGAAACAAAATAACGGTACCCTAGGTCTAGATTATCGATAGCGCGTGAGGACGTCATCCTCGCCCTTCATCACAGCACTCCATGGGGTGAACTTCCTGCGGGTCACCCAGTACCCACTACTCACAGGTGTCAGTAATTTGCGGTGTTCTGGTAGTTATTTGTTGCCCGCTAGAAAGTTCCGATTTCAAACGTGTGGATGTGAAAGTTAAAGTGATCCACCAAAATAAGCATTCCGGCGCCCGGTTAACACGGAGGTAACGCACCGCGTCACTGCGGCGCGACCTCGCAGTTAGTAAGCTCCCTCGGTATGGTAGTCACCACGCAAAAGAATGAATGAAAACCAACTTGCTGACCGAGAAAGGTACTACGGGAAAACACGCAAGCCGAAAAAGGTAAGTTACCCAACAAATGCGGATAAGCAAAGTAACCGGAGATAGGCTGAACCACAGAAAAAAACTAGTGGGTTAAACAAGGTGACAGGGAACTTGATTTCCACTTGTGATTTAAAACGTTAACAAGTCCGTTTCAGAAGGGTTCGGTAAACAATCCGACGGGTTTTTTATTTGGCAACGTTTCGCTTTTGACACAAAAGCTTCGCAGACCAAGTATATTAGAGAACCAGATCAGTGTTCAGAGTCAATTACCGGCTCTTATCGGTTAGTGTGGTTGCCAAAACCTTGCGTTGATGGGTTGGTGGAGTTTCAAGTTAGTTCCGATCGAGTTTAGTTCCTCAATCTTCCACTTCACTTTGCTTCGATTAATGATTCACTGCGAGTGTCACTGGTAAATGTCGTCGGTCTTCGTGGGCTTGTGAGTGCTATGGTAATTTCGTTGAGGGAGGGAAAGTGGGTGAGGTTAAGTGCGATAGGGTAATGACCACTCCTACTTCTGATAACCGCACAGCAACACGTTTCAGCTCGATTGATCCAAAACTGTTCTCCACACGCATGGCAGTTCCACGCAGTCTATTCTGTTGACACTGGGATGCTTGGGGTTTTCTACCGCTTCGGCCATCAGTCTGTGTGGCGTGGGCCGTAGTCCCCGCCTCAAAACCTCACCATTTTCTAAATCTATTTTGTCTTCTGTGTTCGGTTTCCGTTCCACAGTGTCGAGTCTTTCAGTAACGTACGATATTCATCTGAGTTTCTCGGCGGACTGTTCATTTTCCCCCTATGCTCTCCGATTCTGATGCGAAGTCCCCTGGCCGTTTGTCCCGTATAGACCTTAGTGCAGTCGTTACACTCAATTTTGCAGACACAGTCCCTGGTTCTGTTCACCGAGAAGTGATCGTTCAATCGCACCGGGGCAGAATGTCGAGTTTCCCTTTTGGAAAGCTAACCTCATGTTAGTCGTGTTTAGAATCCTTCGAGTGACTTCTGATGTCCCCGTTTTATATGAGATAACAGCAGTCCCAAACGAATCCCTGTTGGATTTCGCTACCTGTACAGAAAGAGAATTAGTCATCACCCGAACTGCACTTAATGTAGGTTGATTGCAGCAATCTGTTGGACCACGCCGAGTTACGTGCAAAACCCCAAAAGTCAAACTTTTCAAATAGAGGTTTATCTGCAAATGCGATAGTTTAGGTACAATAATAAAATGATAAAACTTTACAAACCTCAAATCGTGGGACTACGTCGGTTTAGGAACTGCTAATTACCAACGGGTCTCAAAGTCCATACCAACTCAAAGCCACTTGTGAACTTAAACAACACGTCCGATGACAAGGTCAAAGAACGGTTTACGTTCAGGTCAAAAACAAGAAGGGTGGTATAGGCACAGAACAAAATAACACAATGGGGGGAATCGCGTCGTACAACATAAAGATAGAAGAAAGGAACCAACAATTAAGCTCACCGACGTTTCTCCCCCAAAAGAAACTATCGCAACACTAGCGGTGAATCATCAATCGAAACAAATCGAGGTGGAAGATTAAGGAACCAAACTCGATCGGAACTAATTTGAAACTCCACCAACCCATCAACGCAAGATTTTGGCAACCATACCAACCGACAAGAGTCGTTAATTGACACTCAACACGGATCTAGTGTGATAATCTGAATGGGACTTACTGATTAGCTCTCCTTCTGCCTTAAAACATGATAAACTTGATGACCTGTTCGCTTGGCCTGATAAAGCTTTTGTGTCAAAGGTGAAACGTTGCAAAATAAGAAACCTACCGATTGTTTACCAAGACCTTCTGCAACGATGACTTCTCAATCAATTACAAACTTTCTCCAATTGACTGAATCATTTCAACCTTGAACATAGTCAAACTCTACCAGAAGCTCGTACTTTATCCCCAAAACTTACCGGAAATGCATGTGGACAGTCAACCAATGGTATACATGTACGGGTGAGTTGAGCACTTATGTGGGTCACTATGCGGCTATTCTGTATTGTCGCGGTGGGCAACGGCCATTGATGTGTACCAAGGTCATGTGTATACGTATTCCAATAGATCACTTCAACCCAGATCACCGCGCACTTCACATTGTACCGTCGTGTGACCGCACAATACGTCGTGAAACCAAACTGAGCTACCAACGATATCGAGCAAGACACTCGAAGTCCGCGAACCTCCGAGAAACGATAGTGGATCGTACAGCGGAATGGCTCAAGTGGTTAGAGCGCGGGTTTACTGACCTGAAGTTCCGTGGTTCGAACCCAGCCTCTGTCTTTCGACTTCCTCGGTCTAGGCTTGGACAACCTGGCAGTGTCCCAGTCCTCGTGCAACCTTCGGGTGGCATGGCAGCTAGGCACCGAAAGGGTGTTACAGCTGAACGGTTACAGCGAGTGTGATGAACCAAGATGAGGACGATGTTACTGTGTGTTCAGTGTATGTTCATCTAGTCAAATTTCCGCTGTCAGTTGAGTTTCATGACGCGTCCCAGCCTACATGCCGCACCGAATCCACCATCACAATCTGGTTTTGAGTGTAACACGGCAGGCTAGGTGCAACTGCCTGATACCAGCTAGTCGTGTCGAACAGACAGATAAGACGGTCCGCTGTTAGTTCAACGAGGAAGTTTTGTTCTGTTTATAACGCTGGGCCTACATATATCACGAAATCAAAGGCATTTCTCGGGCGACAGAAAATTGGAACTGAGAATCAATATATACGCGTAAACAAGCGTTGAACACAGTCCACATGACACGTCCCAGTTTCTTCCATAAGTGGTTGCCCTCTTCTTCTACAAGTTATGTGTAGTCCAGTCTACATTCCTCCCATCAAAACAAACATCAAGATGCAGAAACTCACCGATTCAGGTAGAACCACACAAGAGATCCAGCCATATTCCACAGGATGAGAGCACTTATGTAGACGAAGAGACAGTAGAAGATGCGGCTCAAATAGTCACGTGCTGCGGACAACCACGCCTCTGACTGTTTCACAACTTCGTCGAAATATTGCGATGCATTATAGCTACAATCGACAGTGAAATACCGGACATTCAGAAAGGGATTCATAGGATGCGAAATAAGTAGAAAAAAGATTGTTGGCATCTTTCAGGCGACTTCTCTAGTAAGTGAAATTTTCGGGATATTAACAAGTGTTCTACAAAGACCTTCAAACAGTTGCACCGACTCGAGCGTTATTCAAAGTGGGTTGCTGGAGAGAAGGACACTTTCAGAGTAGAGGCCGGTCTAAATTCGGATCATACTTTCTAGCTAGCATAATGCTAGTTATGTCCTACATCAATAATCCGCGATGACGGTCGCGGTATACGAGAGTTGGTCACTTCGCCTCTCTCGAATCGATGGCTCGTATTCCCAGAACGAGTGTTTCCACGGATATTTATCCGCGGTATCCGGCTCCGATGCAACCCCTTGAAGAGCATTCAACATTGTTTGTCCTTTCTTTGGTTGTTGGTCTATAGACGCGTGTTCCCATACCAAAATCTTTACATACTTTGGGATTCACCTCAACAGACTGGCACTGTCTTTGGCATGATTTCGAATGAGACGTTTCTCTCTTTTCTCCCATATTCTCCTGTTACTCTTTCGCATTCATCGCTTGCATTCACTTTTTATGTGTGTGACTATGCTCTTCAAAAATAAATGATAATAGTAGTGCGTTACCTTTGTCACTTAGTCTCCACCAGAAGACCTGAACTAGAAACTATCATGTGCGCACACAATCCAAATTCAAAAAGAAAAACTGTCAGCCAAATGATGTGCGAGTCTTGACTGTGCTAGCGCCTACCTTACCTTGAAGAGCATTCAACATTGTTTGTCCTTTCTTTGGTTGTTGGTCTATAGACGCGTGTTCCCATACCAAAATCTTTACATACTTTGGGATTCACCTCAACAGACTGGCACTGTCTTTGGCATGATTTCGAATGAGACGTTTCTCTCTTTTCTCCCATATTCTCCTGTTACTCTTTCGCATTCATCGCTTGCATTCACTTTTTATGTGTGTGACTATGCTCTTCAAAAATAAATGATAATAGTAGTGCGTTACCTTTGTCACTTAGTCTCCACCAGAAGACCTGAACTAGAAACTATCATGTGCGCACACAATCCAAATTCAAAAAGAAAAACTGTCAGCCAAATGATGTGCGAGTCTTGACTGTGCTAGCGCCTACCTTACCTTGAAGAGCATTCAACATTGTTTGTCCTTTCTTCGGTTGTTGGTCTTTAGACGCGTGTTTCCATATCGAAATTTTTACATACATTGGGATTCATCTCACGTGACTGGAACTGTTGGTGGCATGACTACGAAAGAGACGTTTCTCTGCTTTATCTCCTGTTATCCTGTTACCCTTTCACATTCACTTTTTGTGTTTGTGACCATGCTTTTCAAAAATAAATGATAAAAGTGAAGACTCACTCTTTGAACAAGTGTGGCACGATAGCATTAAGTGGACATTTCGGACAATCCAGGCGCCTTGTCTCAGCCAATTCAATCTCCCGTTCGGACTGAGTCATGCGGCAATGTTTTGGAACGAACGCATCCGCAGTTCCTTTAGACTGATGAATTGCGGTACCACCGTCATTGGCGCGAAGATTAGACCAATCAGAGGGCTGAGCATGCGCCTGACTTGGTCCACTATGTATCATGTGCACGGGCAACTGAAGCTTATTCAACGCTGGGTTTCGGTTGAGTTTGGTGGCCATTCTGTTTCTGACTTGTTGAGCAGCAGCCTGAGAAGGGTAGGAAATTTGGGACAAATAATGAAGTTACTTAGAGTAGCCACAATCGAGGGTAATAACAAAACCAGGAAGAGGGGTAAAATCGTGCCTATAAACGTTGTCAGGGGCGGCCACTTCAATTGCAGCTCTGGTATAGAAAACTACACAGAGTTACTCACATTCAATCACAGATATGACTAGTTCCACAGTCGAAAATCGGTGTGACTTTGTAGCGTAAGTAAATCAACAAAACTCCCAGTCACCCACCTTGTCAGGTGAAGCACTAAGCAGTAAGAGTGTGAGAGTACTGTAGAAGCATACAACGAGTGCGAACAACAAATACCTTGTAGGCCAGCAACACCCGGCATTGCTCCTGTTCAATCTCACTCAGCCACGCGGTCCACTGATGCAGAAGGAATTGGGCTTCTCGAAGTCGTCGGCTCATTTCTGACTCAATCCCAGCTACCTCGTACTGGTTCAGTCGCTGAGCCGAACGAGTGATGTGAACATTGACCAAACGGGCATGCAGGTGAACCGGGAGAATCTGTCAAGTTGAAGGATGACATGATCACTACCGCGGTCATAGAAGTGGTGAAAATGATGCCCACGGAAACAGGACAGAGCGAGTAAAAAGAAAGACTAATGCGAAACCACCCAGTGCAACTCATATTCATCCGAGTGTTCAAACAGGATCTCGTATTGTGCACTGGTCAAGCACAAAACCTGCTAGTGACGGTAGTCCTCCGGACGACACCATGAAATGTCGATCGATTGGACTGTACGGTTTGAGACGAAAAGATGTGTCGAACGGTCTTTTGAAACCAGCAAAACTGGTGCAAAAAACCAGCCACTTGATGGCTTGGATGTGAGTAGTGGAGTGTGGACATCTGTGCAGAATGTTGTGGATTCCACTACCAGTCAATAGACATGAGAATCGTGTTCATTAAAGGGGGTCAGGACACATGGAATGGCTACGTAGTGATTAGCGACACTTGTGCGTGTTAGCTCAGTTTTACACAACGATGTAGAGGTATAGGAGACAATTCAGCAACATGTTTGTACGGTTATATGCGTCAGCTTGAGTGGAAGGAGTCAAGCGCCTCGAACAAACAAAAGCTGATGCGTGTCATCCAGGATATGAATAATGTTTGCCACGAACTGAGCATGCACGCGCAAAAAAATCAACAAATACTCTCATTTGCACTTGAGTTCAGTTCTGATAAGAGACTCAAAAGAATCCAGCTGCACGTCTCGTTTATGCTAAAGAGTTTTCAGCAACTTTGTGAGTAGTGTGTTACGTCTGGACATGGTAAATCTCAGTTTACTTTCAAGATACTGAGCTAAGCAAGTATGAATTTCACAGGCTAGTGAAAACCGGGCTGCGTCCAACGCACCGGCTGAAATGTGAATGTACGATCGACGGAACGCAAAACTCAGGATAGATGAGATTCTGGCACAGCTACCCGCTGCGGGCACAAAAATACACACAATCGTAAAAATGGTATAAAAACAATTGAGATAGAGACGAGATAGGGGCAGTGCTCATCTCATGGAGTTTGTCGGCAGAAATCATGATTGAAAGTTCCTAAAGCTCCTCACGCTACCATAAAAATACAGGAATGCGACGGCATTCAGTGTAGAGTGTGAACATGCCCCCTCAACCATCTGACTGGTATTACTTCGAGATAACGTTCCACAGTCACAGGATTAAAAGCGCAATCGGTCAGTAGTTTGACACAGCTCCTCAAGGCATCACGGCTATCTTGGTTATATTCTAGCAACAAGATATTTTCCCATGCGCAAAAGTCTGATCAAACAGAGACATGATAGATCAACTGAGGAGATTCGCACACAACTTGAACAAAACGAGTGACAAATGGTTGGTACCACAGGTTTTGTTTGATCAGGTTTGGTACATACTGGGGTGAGATGGCTCAAGTGATAGGAGAGTGAATTTAATGACGGCAAAGCCCGTGGTTCGAACCTGACCCCTGCTTCTCGACTTCCCCTGTCTACGCTTGGGCAATCTGACAGTAGCCCAGCCCTCATGCTTCCTTCGGGTAGCATGGCCGAAGGGCGTTACAGCAGGAAGATTTTTTCGGCACATACCACTTGCCAACTGAGATACAGTAGTCATTAAAGCATAGGAACATGACTACTTTGTGTCGAACTGCGCGCGATATTTGTGACTGAGAGTTGCACTTATGGAACAACTTGCAATAAAAGCCGGTTTTGCTCTGTTCCTGGAAAGTAAAATGCAGATAACTGGTATGGATGAATAGAAGGGTCACCTCAAGTCCAAGGAAAACCACCAAACCGCCAGCGAAATGCGTGTGTTGACAATATGTCTCCGATGACAGATGTATTGTTGACGGAAGTGAGATGCTGGAAATATTACCAACCAGTAGCATATACACTTTGCAGAGAGGTTATCCCAATCCTTAGACTTTTCGAGGGAGAAACACGCATTCATGTGATGGCTGGTCTAATTTGGTTTTGAAAAAAAACAGGTAACAAGGACCATCATGGACAAAAGACAACTGCTCAGTTCTCCGGTAAGTATTTCCCCGATTAGACCACCCTCAAGAGTGGGTTTGATAGGGGCGGATTGACTGTCTGGGGAATTGGAGCGAGTAAACCCCAATCGACTCCCTATCTGTACATACCGGTGTCGTCGATTGGGAAATGCGCTTACGGTGCGCTTATGGCGAATAATGTGACGAACTGCAGCATCTTGGCAGTCTAGCCGGTGGAGCACCGATTCAGGGCACGAGGAGTCGTGTACACAAGTGTGATGAGACCAACATCTCAAGGCGCATGGACACGGTTACAAAACGTCCACGTAGTTCGTGTTGTAGACTAATATTGATTTTGTATGCAGACAGAAATAAACGACAAATTATAGGGCGGGGAAACTTCGCCCGAACAACAGAGAAACATACCAGGTTATCGTAGTAGCCAATGTAGTCGAGTGTTTCTTGAGAAAGCAGGCGGTCTAGATGTGCCGCACCCTGGGAGACTGCCAACAAAGCCAGCACACTACCACAGAGTTTCCGCACCGTCCCAGGTTGCATTGCCTTAGCGGGAAAGTGAAAAAGTGGAGAGTTTGACACAATGCGGATCTGATCACAGTGATCATTTGGTGATATTCCAAACACAAAAATGTGGTGTGGAAAATGAAGGCGGGGGGGGGGGGGGGGCGGTCTTCTAAACAAAA